TGGGGCTCCCCCCCCCCCCCCCCCCGAACTGCAATGGTTAAGTGCTAATTTTTGCCTAGGGTCACAGATAAGAAAGTTATATTCACCCGATTCTCTGAGCCTGCTTCCTCTTAGACCGGTCTCTGGAGTCTCTCTCCCCCCTCCCGTGCAGCGGTCTAAGGTCCCTGAGACATCACGTTCTATACACAGTGTATAGGAGGTGAGGATGCAGAGGGACACGCCATCGCTGCCGGAGGGAGCGCTGTCGCAGCCACCTGGCTTGTGGGATCGGGTGAGTATAACTTTTTGACCCTAGGCAAAAACGAGCACTTAACCCTTGTAGTGCTGGGGTAGTTTTTTTCCACCAGAGTTCTTTAAATGATGTGAGAGCAATTTAGCATAAGGAGAATCTTTTTACTCAAAAATGTTGTTTGGTAATGCTGACCTGTACTCGCCTGATTCATGGGATATGTAAATTGTAATGACGGTTCTCTCTCTTGGCTGTACAGGCAAAGGACAAGGACTGGTGGCTCCAACTTTTCACCCAGTTTTGCAGCAAAACGGCCAATGAAGAGGAGGAGATCGTCCACAAGCTCCTGGGGGACAAGTTTAAAGTAAGGGGAAATTCTGGTTCATGCCTTGTATCCCGTAATCCTCCCGACTGCTCTGTGCCATGGGCCATTAAAGGATCATCACAGACCAACTTGATATAATTTGAGCATGTTGAGTTCAGCTTTCAAGGCTGTGTAACCATGATTCATGATCCACAAACCCCCCCCCCCTTTCAGGTGAATGGCGGGGGTCCTGTTCCGGCCATGCAGCCGCGTCATCCAGTAACAGATCCTTTTACAGAATCTGTGACTAGAGACTACAAATCTCTATTTCAAATCAGAGGCTGGTGAGAGTGCTGGGGAACCTTTTGCTGTTGTACAATTCCCATCTGTCACCAGGTTAGAGGGACATGCGTCTCAGTAGAGTAATGAGGCTGTGAAGTCCACGGCACTCATATTTTTCCCATCCCTTAGTTGAAGGTACGTACAGATGCACAAAAATGAATGCGTATGCTTACCTTTAATGTGGAGTGCCGTGATAGGCTTTAAAGGCATAGTCCACCTTTTGCATTGACAAGCAAGTTTCATATTTCCTCTAACACTTCCCCTGTAGAACATCTTCATCTTCCAGGACAGCACAGGAAAGAGGTCCTGCCCACCTAAAACAGGAAATACATCATCTCTACTAGCTACCTCAGATTTTTTTTTTAGTGTCCTCAGGCCTAGGTGTAGGGGCCTCCCAGGTATTCTTCCTGGTAGACTGTTGTTTCAGGAAGCCAGCAGGGGTCTAGATGGGAGACGGACCCTCTTTCTGGTCCCCACCCAGGTTTCTTTCCCACAGGGTAGGGGGGAAAAAATCATCCCTGTGGTGTAACAGACCCTAGTCTGTTTCCCTCCCCAACATTTTGTAATGCTGCTTTATTCTGCTTACCCCTTTTAGGTGTGCAGGAGAAGCTCTCCTGTGTGCTGACCTCCCACTGGTGGACTCTGCAGCATCATCTCTGTATTAGGGGGTAGACCGCAATTTGGCACCCCATTGCAGCGGTGGGACGCTGGCCAGGATCTGACCTGTCTGCTTATGCGGGTCTGTTTAGGTGGCGGGGATGTGAACAGGGCCCTCGCGCGGTGGGGACCCAACCCAACCATTTACCTCACTCCTGATGGGAAATCCATCTTTTGTGTAGTCTGGCAAATGGCTTCTAGAACTTGATCCAGAATGGTCCAGGGAGAAGGAGTCAGCAGTGATAGCTCATGTCAGTGAGCTGAATGGGTTAGGGGACCAGAGGGAAGTAGTTGGCAGCAGGAAAAAGGGGAAGGATAAAGTTTGGGCATTGATGTGCCTTGAGAACAGCAATAAGGTGACCAGTAACTTGTATTTTAAAGGGGAACTATGGGGTCAGTGTTTTTCCCCATAGTTCTCCTTAGGGTAACGGGAGGTCAGTAATATCTTCGTCCTGTAATGATATTATCCCCTTTGCTCACACAGGGTCAGTTGGATCAGCTGCGACGTTTCTTCATGGAGGCCTTGTACGAGGAGCGAGTGAGCCGGGTAAGAGGAGAGTCTGAGCATTTACATATTGGAGTATAGACGCAGGCATTTTACTTTGTTTTACTGTATATGTGCGAGTGCCAAAACCATATCTCAAACCATGGAACCAGCGTCAACATGGTTAGTGGTTGTACAAGGTGTTGCCCATTTGTTTAGTGTGATCATGCAAGCTAGGGATGCACCGATACCAGTTTTTTCGTTATCGAGTATGAGTATTGATTAGTTGTTGCAGCCCAACTTCTAACACTCTCTTATCTTACCACCTCTCTGAACTTTGACTCAAGGCTTTGTGTCATAGTCTACATCAGGGGTGCCCATTAGGTGGATGGTGATCTAGCAGTAGCTCTCAGAGCTGATGCTGGTAGATCAGGAAGGGGGGGAATGGCGGCCCCTTTATTCCATGTTGGTCTATTTATTTAGCTGTGCACACATGATTACCTATTAGCCTGAGTCTGCTGAGCCGAGCTCCCTGACACCTTTCTGGTGGATACTGGGGGTTGATGTGCTATGTAATACATCAAAGAATATTACTTTACAAAGCCTGCTGCACTGTACTGTTTGCAAAATACAACAATGTGAGCCAGGAGAGGGAGCGAGGAGAGACAGCCAGGAGAGGCAGCGAGGAGAGACAGCCAGGAGAGGGAGCGAGGAGAGACAGCCAGGAGAGGGAGCGAGGGAGTTATTTTTTTCGTTGGTAGATCTCTTGTAGCTCGTCATTTGAAAAGTAGATCTTAACACAAAAATTGTGGGCACCCCTGGTCTACATGACAGCTGCCTTTCCTAGTAGTCCTTGGTGTCTGTGGCTGGACTGACGTCCCCATAGATTTGCTGCAACTTCCACTTCCCAATGAAAATAGCTGCCCTTGTGTCCCGTTACCTTTTGGCGCTTCGTTATGCTGCATGTCCATACAAACCTTGTGGATTCAGTGTTCTCTTCTCTTGCACCGATGCCCCTCCTGAGGCGCCATCTTCCTTTTGTATGTCAAAGGAAGCTGACTGGCCTGGTTCTTGCAGCATGCCCCCCTGACCCATCTCCAGATCTGACGCCGTGTGGCCGACCTGCGAGATATCACAGGTTTTTTTAGGAGGTGGAAAGCAATGCCTCTTGGGATATGTGACGTGTGTGTTTCCCCAAGAGGCAGCAGCCTGAATGGGGAAGTGGGGGAGCACTAGTATACAGGTATTTGTAATTCATTAAAGGAGAACTATGAGGGTGAGTGATTTTCACTCACCCTCATAGTTCGAGCCGATGTGTGACAATGAGACTGTCACAGGTCGGCTCAGTAGATCGGGAAGTGAGCGAACACATAACGTAGCTCGCTTACTTCTCGATCATCTCCCTGCAGAGAGCCGTGACCATCACTCACGGCTCCCTGCAGGGATTCCCTCCCCGCTCTGATCCTCCAGCGCTGACTGGCGGAACGGACAGGGGAGGGGGCGGGTACAGCTGGCTCTGCCTCTAGATAGGTAGAGCCAGCTGTCACTCACGCAGCTGGGCGGATCTCGACAGTAATGTTTGGATCCGTCCCGGCTGCGCCGATCCCAGTATACCGTGAGCTGTATCTCGCTATATACTGAGCTTTGGGTCACTGGAGGACGCTAGTTTGTGTCCTCCCGTGACCCTTAGGAGAACTATGGGGAGAAACACTGACCCCATACTTCTCTTTTAAAAAGCCTTAAGGTAAGAGGGAAGAATGATCTGAGGCAAACGTTCATTTTTGCTAGAAGGTCCGCTTTCAGTGTTTTATTGATCATTGTTGCTACAAAGCTACAGGCTGACATGTACCAAAGTGGTGTGTCTGCAGTGTGGACCGCTAGGGCCTATGCTCTCACGGTCTTTGGGCTTGCGTCAATGGCATCAGCTTGAGGCTCTTCTGAGATCCTACAGAAATCATGGACAGCTGCATTGGACCTGTAGTTGGCCTCCTGACCTGCATCCGATAGGTTTTGTATTCCCATAGACTTGTATGGGGATGCTAAACTCTTTTAACATGAACAGAAGCACGTCGACTCGCGCCCTAATAGTTGTCTGTTAGAAGTGTGGTTCATTAATTTCTCTTTCCGTGGTTTTCTTTCAGTGGTTCACGCCTGAAGGCTTCCGATCATTATTTGCTCTCGTAGGAACAAACGGGCAGGGGATCGGCACAAGGTGAGAGGCAAAATTTCCCTTTACCGCAAGGCTGCGAATTCTTATTATCTTGTGTGGGTTGAGCAAAAGGTATGCACTGTTATAGGATCAGTCCATGCAAATGTGATGGAGATGAACAAAGACAGTCACGTGTATAGCCCATCCTGTGTGACCCCAATGGCTTCCTCCATAGATACAGTGGGGGGAGTGAATGACAGGAAGCGTGTTTATTTATGGGATCACCAAGTAAAAATGAAGAACATAAAATAGGCCGAAGAAGTAAAACAAATTCGGCCACCACATGTAAGGAATGGTAGACTGCAACTTCTGGGTTTGGCTGTACTTTAATGTTACGTAGCATGGGAAAGGGTTACATCCTCAATCTGCTGTTAAAAGAAACCTGTGTTTTAAAGGTAGGACGCTAGTTTGTGTCCTCCCGTTACCCTAAGGAGAACTATGGGGAAAAGCCCGGACCCCATAGTTCTCTACGGCCAACATACCGTATGTCCTGCCTGCTCATACAAGGCTGACGACTGTCAAGAAGTAGGTGTGCATAGCAAAATGCAAATAACGGTCTATAGCAACCATTCTAAACCAGGGTTCCGTGGCACTTTAGGGTTCCTTCAGAGGTTGCTAGGGGTTCCCACGGCAATAAGAAATGTCTGCTTCTAAGATAAGCTACCACTTACCCTAGGGCCTTGGTTCTCAACTGATAGGTCATGACCCAAAAGTGGGTCGCGACCCCGTGTTCAGTGGGTTGCCGCATGCCTTCCACTTTTCTAAGTCAGAGGCTCCTCTGCCTCCTCCTAGCGCAGCGCTGTCAGTTCTCGTGCCGAGCAGCCATTCAAAATATGCTGCCCGGCGCTGAGTCAGTTTGAAGTGGGGTGGGTTGGGGGTATGGCCGCGAGGGAGCTCCATCCATACGTGCATTGCTTACAGCGTCCTCGCATGTCCTATAGAAGTGCCTGGACCGGAGTGACGTCACATTCTGGCTCCCGGAACTTGTACAGGGGGTGCAAGGGATCTGTACTAGCAATGCACATATGGATGGAGCTCCGTCACAGCACAGCTGCCAACACTGGACCCCAGGCTGAGTATCCATTGCAGTTCTTGTAAGGTAGGGAGATTGGGTGGACCTTAAAAAAAATAAACATTTTTTGGAGTGTGTATGTGTGTGACATTATGTGCCTGTGGTTCTGTATGTACGTATGCATGTCAGTGTTTTTGAGAGCCCGTTCACACTAGTACAGTGCGTTAATCGCATAGTAGCGTGTGATTAACGCACGGTACCACGCAATTGCACCTACCGTGCATTCTGGTTTGGGAGGTGTGTTGCGTTTCCATTCATTTGAATGGAACCCCAAATGCCCCTCCCACCCACAGTTTGTACATCCGCTCCGGAACGTGCAGTACCCTAATGCCGTGCGTTCCATTGTGTGCAGTGCGACTTGGTTAGCGACTTAATGGCCGGGGACAAATGTGGGTCCTGGGGTTACACAGGTTGAGAATCAATGGTCTAGGGCAGTGTTCCCCAACCCCCGGTCCAAATGGTACCGGGCCGCACAGTCTCAGTGCGGTCCGGTCATGCAATATATGGCAGTGCACGGTCCCGGTGTTCGAACATCCCTTGATTTCTAGGTTTCCCCCTATGTGGCCTGATCATCCAGTTAAAGCCTTCTGTAAACATTCAGGATCTGGGAGAGAGCCCAATAATGGGTCTGCCTGGTGCTTGCGCTGAATTTAAAATGGGGGCTTCCATTATTTCTTAAAGGGGAACTTTACCCATATCCTTGAAATGACAACAAATACATCTTTAGAAATGTTTAGCGATGACAGAATCTTGAGATACTTCTAGATAATTGCCGGCTTTGTGTTCTTTACGTACCCTATGTCTTTTCTTTCCCATTCGTCTCACAGCGGCCATTTTTACTAAGGGCAGATTAATCCATCTCCCTTTACTTCCTGGAACTCTGGCACATGTGACTAGGACATGTGACCATGCACATCCTCTCAGGGGAGGGACAATGCCATACCCTGAGATCTCGTGACATTTAAGATTAGATTTCCCAGCAATGCTCTGCTGATGTCACCTTCCCAGGATGCAACGCTCGGGCACGATTACATCACTAATGCCCAAGTGGACCAGGAAATGGAAAAACAATAATTGAAAGTAACAGAAAAATGTTTGCTTAGCTAATGAATGTAAGAGGATTTCATATGGGCACGCAGAGCTGTACGCTGATGTGATTGTCCGTGAAAGGGGGTAAAGGTCTACTGTAAAGGAGAACTATGAGATGAGTGATTTCCACTCACCTCATAGTTCTAGCCGACCTGTGACAATGAGACTGTCACAGGTCGGCTCAGTAGATCGGGAGGTGAGCGAACACATACCGGCGCTCGCTCACTTCTCAATCACGTCCCTGCAGAGAGCCGTGACTGTCGGTCACGGCTCCCTGCAGGGATTCTCCGCTCCGATCCTCCAGCGCTGACTTCCTAGAGAGGCAGAGCAAGCTGTCAATCATGCAGCTGGGTGGATCTCGACAGTAATGTCCCGGCTGCGGCAGTCTCAGTATATAGGGAGCTGTAGCTCGCAGTATACTGAGCTTAGGGAGACGGGAGGACGCTAGTTTTTGTCCTCCCGTTACCCTAAGGAGAACTATGGGGAGAAACACTGACCCCATAGTTCTCCTTTAAGGTCTATCCTCATGCGCATCTCTGAACTTGTGATAGGCCGTCTTATGCATTATAAAAAAAAATATGGCTGTTGGAATTTCCAATAGAAGACCGGCGCACTTTTATGAACAGACCCACTTTAGAAAGCAATTTGTAGTGCATGAAAAAATAATGCCGAATGTCCATACTGACTTTGCCTACATTGTTCTTTAGACTTGAGGCTTTGCCGTGTCATTACATTTTGTAAAAGTGCAGCGAGCGATTCCTCTGCCTTTCCATTGTTGGAACGCTGATCATGTTTGTCTCCCTGCAGCTCCCTGAGTCAGTGGGTTCATGCGTGTGACGCTCTGGAGCTCCCAGCCCGGGAGAGGGAACGCCTGGATGGCCTGATAGATCAGCTCTACAAGGACATCGAGAAAGGTCAGTGGCAGATGAGCTGCATGGCTTTCCTTGAACAGGTTGTGAGAGGTTAGGCGACTCCTCACCGTGTACGGATTGTCGCGCGGTCAGGATTCGCCAAAGTGTGAAGCGACCGCGCTGTGGGTGCCATTATTTTTATAATGTCGCGCCGGGCGGATCGCGCGACTCCCCTCGCGCTCCCGAACACGAAGCTAACAGCCGCTCGTCGTGTATGGCAAAAAAAAAAAAGGTACATGTACCTTTTTTCTGCGACTGCCGCGCGGATGTCACCCCATTGATATCAATGGGGCCACACGGCAATCGCTGACTTGCGTCCCTGGTGTCATGCGGTGTAGTGCAGGTGTGAACCTAGCCTAAGACACCATTCACACTGAGCTACATCACTGATTTGAGTTGAGCTACAGTGCACATTGTCGCGATACGTAGCGCTTCTTTTGGCAGTCTATCAAAGCCTATTTTGGCCAAATCGCACCAAATCCGCTGGTAAAAATAGGTCATGTTCGAGCAACAAACTACAGGCGACATTGAGCTGTGGGATGTGAACAGCTTCATTGAAACGCATTGGACGCGCTACATTGAGCGATATTTGAGCGGAAATCGCGCTACTAATCGCTCAGTGTGAATGGGGTCTGAAGCAATGGGATGGAGGTTGGATTCCCCCTGTTCCCTGTACATGCCGCTTGTTTGGTATACAGCATATACAGTAGATGCAAAGGGGAAACTTTGAGATTATTACTTGAAATGCATTTGGGTAATGACTCGCCACCCGGCTTCCCGGTCAGCTGGAATGCCGGCTTTCTGGCCAATCAGGAAGCCTTGGGGCAGCGAATGACCTGCTGCCTGGCTTCCTCATCGGCCAGCTTTCCGACCAATCAGAAAGCCGGGCGGCAAATCATTACACGTAGACCTAGCGCTATCTTCAGGGATTTCTGTAATATAAGACCTACCACCGAACTAGGTCTTACTTCCGGGGTAGGTCTTACTTTTGGGGAAACACGGTACCATGAAAGCCGCCTGTGTGTGGAGTTGCTCTATACGGTGATAGATCCTGCGGATTCATTGGATCTATTGATGAGATTGTTTAGAAAATTATGTATTTCTGACCATTTGTTTTTCCTCTGCAGAGACCGGGGAGTTCCTGAACTGCGAGGGGTCAGGATTGTACCTGCTACAGAGCTGCTGTGAGTCTTGTGCTGGCTTTCTGTTTCTTTACTCCAATATCTTATATGGGCTCCCAGTGGTGCTGCTACTACTCACTGGACATTCACAACTCAATACTTGTAGCTACTGGCGGTGAAGAACCTGCCGTTGTATGCACACTGTGCTGCACTTCATATAAAGTGTACGTTGCCCCCAAAATCCATTTTTCGGTATGTTGGGTATCATGTCTCTTTTGTATACAGTTTTCTTAAAATGTTTTTATGACTCTATTGCAGAGTTTCTTTAAGTGGCGGCGCTGTCAGTAACGACAGGTCAGGTCCTGTTGCATAATGACAACACTAAGCCACTGCTTTCTAATGAGCAGCAGCATTGTCAGCTTTTTCTGCAAGGCCCTTCAGTTGGCTGTTGGACTGCCGGTCAGAGAGTCTCCACGGGCTGCCTGTAGGAAGGAACCTTACGGGGGGCTGCTTCTTGGAGAGAGGAGCCCCCCCTTCCCCTGCTCAGTAACCAACTGTGGGAGCTTTCTTGGCAGGCTGAAAATGCATTGGAGTATTGGTAGTGGGGGACAAGGCAGCGTATATCTCCCATCCCTCATAAACCACTAAGAGCATTTCCAGTGGCCTGAACTGCCTCCTGTCTAGACTGGAAACAAAAACAATTGTTGTCCAGTAAATTCTAGTGCCAGGTGAACTTTGCATGGGAGTTATTAGCAGGACGTCTGGCAATGTTCTTTATTTACCTGACTTCCACTTGTCATTTCACTATCATCCCTTATCACAACCATTTCCTATACCATCACCCCTTATCACTACCATTTCCTTATACCATCACCCCTTATCACAACCATTTCCTATACCATCGCCCCTTATCACAACCATTTCCTATACCATCGCCCCTTATCACAACCATTTCCTATACCATCGCCCCTTATCACAACCATTTCCTATACCATCGCCCCTTATCACAACCATTTCCTATACCATCGCCCCTTATCACAACCATTTCCTATACCATCGCCCCTTATCACAACCATTTCCTATACCATCGCCCCTTATCACAACCATTTCCTATACCATCGCCCCTTATCACAACCATTTCCTATACCATCGCCCCTTATCACAACCATTTCCTATACCATCGCCCCTTATCACAACCATTTCCTATACCATCGCCCCTTATCACAACCATTTCCTATACCATCGCCCCTTATCACAACCATTTCCTATACCATCGCCCCTTATCACAACCATTTCCTATACCATCGCCCCTTATCACAACCATTTCCTATACCATCGCCCCTTATCACAACCATTTCCTATACCATCGCCCCTTATCACAACCATTTCCTATACCATCGCCCCTTATCACAACCATTTCCTATACCATCGCCCCTTATCACAACCATTTCCTATACCATCGCCCCTTATCACAACCATTTCCTATACCATCGCCCCTTATCACAACCATTTCCTATACCATCGCCCCTTATCACAACCATTTCCTATACCATCGCCCCTTATCACAACCATTTCCTATACCATCGCCCCTTATCACAACCATTTCCTATACCATCGCCCCTTATCACAACCATTTCCTATACCATCGCCCCTTATCACAACCATTTCCTATACCATCGCCCCTTATCACAACCATTTCCTATACCATCGCCCCTTATCACAACCATTTCCTATACCATCGCCCCTTATCACAACCATTTCCTATACCATCGCCCCTTATCACAACCATTTCCTATACCATCGCCCCTTATCACAACCATTTCCTATACCATCGCCCCTTATCACAACCATTTCCTATACCATCGCCCCTTATCACAACCATTTCCTATACCATCGCCCCTTATCACAACCATTTCCTATACCATCGCCCCTTATCACAACCATTTCCTATACCATCGCCCCTTATCACAACCATTTCCTATACCATCGCCCCTTATCACAACCATTTCCTATACCATCGCCCCTTATCACAACCATTTCCTATACCATCGCCCCTTATCACAACCATTTCCTATACCATCGCCCCTTATCACAACCATTTCCTATACCATCGCCCCTTATCACAACCATTTCCTATACCATCGCCCCTTATCACAACCATTTCCTATACCATCGCCCCTTATCACAACCATTTCCTATACCATCGCCCCTTATCACAACCATTTCCTATACCATCGCCCCTTATCACAACCATTTCCTATACCATCGCCCCTTATCACAACCATTTCCTATACCATCGCCCCTTATCACAACCATTTCCTATACCATCGCCCCTTATCACAACCATTTCCTATACCATCGCCCCTTATCACAACCATTTCCTATACCATCGCCCCTTATCACAACCATTTCCTATACCATCGCCCCTTATCACAACCATTTCCTATACCATCGCCCCTTATCACAACCATTTCCTATACCATCGCCCCTTATCACAACCATTTCCTATACCATCGCCCCTTATCACAACCATTTCCTATACCATCGCCCCTTATCACAACCATTTCCTATACCATCGCCCCTTATCACAACCATTTCCTATACCATCGCCCCTTATCACAACCATTTCCTATACCATCGCCCCTTATCACAACCATTTCCTATACCATCGCCCCTTATCACAACCATTTCCTATACCATCGCCCCTTATCACAACCATTTCCTATACCATCGCCCCTTATCACAACCATTTCCTATACCATCGCCCCTTATCACAACCATTTCCTATACCATCGCCCCTTATCACAACCATTTCCTATACCATCGCCCCTTATCACAACCATTTCCTATACCATCGCCCCTTATCACAACCATTTCCTATACCATCGCCCCTTATCACAACCATTTCCTATACCATCGCCCCTTATCACAACCATTTCCTATACCATCGCCCCTTATCACAACCATTTCCTATACCATCGCCCCTTATCACAACCATTTCCTATACCATCGCCCCTTATCACAACCATTTCCTATACCATCGCCCCTTATCACAACCATTTCCTATACCATCGCCCCTTATCACAACCATTTCCTATACCATCGCCCCTTATCACAACCATTTCCTATACCATCGCCCCTTATCACAACCATTTCCTATACCATCGCCCCTTATCACAACCATTTCCTATACCATCGCCCCTTATCACAACCATTTCCTATACCATCAACCCTTATCACAACCATTTCCTATACCATTACCCCTTATCACTACCATTTCCTTATACCATCACACCTTATCACTACCATTTCCTTATACCATCACACCTTATCACAACCATTTCCTTATACCATCGCCCCTTATCACAACCATTTCCTTATACCATCGCCCCTTATCACAACCATTTCCTTATACCATCACCCCTTATCACAACCATTTCCTTATACCATCGCCCCTTATCACAACCATTTCCACCTCTCCTCTTCTCCAGGTCCTTGCTGCCTATGGCTGGATCTGATGATATGTCTCTGACTTGTTCTTTATTCTCTCTCCCCTCTTGCAGGTAACCACAGTTGTGTCCCCAATGCCGAGGCCTCTTTTCCTGACAATAATTTTCTCTTACACATGACCGCTTTAGAAGATATCAAGCCGGGAGAGGTAAGAAGTCTTCTTCTGATGATCAGAGGGCTATGGAGATGATTGGACGGGATCTTCTGTATGTAGTGCCTAGTGCTTGGGGTCCCGCTTATTGTAGGCCAATGAGAGGGTAATAGTGCAGTAGACCACAGATTAGCCGCCTTCTATATATCTGAATGTTGGACCCTTTTACATAAGCTGCGGCTGTGTCCTCCCAGCAACAAGTAACAACAAAGCGGCCAGATTCCCATTGATGCTTTTTGCCATCACTAAGTCTTTCTGTTCTATTATTTCATCTCCACTAGTGCTGCAGCTTAGTTAGCCAATTATTCACTTCAATTAATCGGATAAAATAAAAATAATTAATATCGCACAGGAACGGAGGGCTTTTCAGTACCGCGCGTTCCAGTGCGGGCGATCACACTGCGGACGGGAGGTGCATTTGGGATCCATTGAAATGAATGGCACTGCAAGGCACCTCCTGCAGCACAATTTGTCAGGCCGAAACTGAAAATGACCTTTCCCACCTTTTTTTTTTTTTATATACATTTTATTACCAAGATATATAGCTATCTTTTTTAATGTATGTATTATATTAGTCATTTTAATTAGGTTCGTGGATTTTAAATGTGAATTGTAAAACTGAGCCAATATAATAAACAAAACAACCTTTTATTTAACCCCTTGGTTCTCAACTGGTGGGTCGCGACCCCATGTGCAGTGTCGCTCGGCCTCCCCCTTTTGCAGCACTGCCGGTTCTTGAGCCAAACAGCCATTCCAAATATGCTGCCCGGTGCCGAGTGTCAGCTTGAGGTGGGATGGGGCTATGGCCGTGAGGGAGCTCCATCCATTTGCACAGCATCCTCACGTGTCCTGTAGAAGTACCTGGACCGGAGTGACGTCACCTTCTGGCTCCCGGCACCTCTACAGGGCACGCAAGGGAGCTGTACAAGCAACGCACATATGGATGGAGCTCCGTCACAGCACAGCAGCCCACACTGGACCCCAGGCTAAGGAGCCACTCCAGTTTTTGTACATTATGGAGACTGGGTGGAGCTTTTGAATGGTACCCCAAACGCACCTCCCGCCCACAGTTCGATCGCCTGCATGGAACGCACGGTACTGCAATGCTGTGCGTTCCATTGCCGTGCGACTTGGGTCGCAACTTAATGACCAGGGACAAATGTGGGTCCTGAGGTCACACAGGTTGAGAACCACTGCTTTAACCTCTTCCGGGCAGCAATGGTCTATAGACGGAGGCCCGTTAAAGTGGTGAAAACAAGAACGCGGCTGCTGCAACAGTCGTGTTCTTGGTACCGCCTTTTAACAGCAGGCGATGGATGTTAATGTACAAGCGATCCGGCGTCTGTGCAGGCGCCGGATCGTTTGTATCGCGCGGCGCCCACCACCCCACTGCGGCTGCCGTTATCTTCCCCAGGCACCGCTGTCCCCGTGCTTCCAGCCGCGGATCTCTCCTCCGATCACTGGACCCGGAAGTGATGTGTATTACATCACTTCCGGTGTCGCTGTACAGCCTGCAGCTCTCAGAGCCAGGAGATGAAGCTGGTGAAGCAGATCTCTGATTCCTCAGCTTCTTTGGTGTCCCCAGGTGACATTCGAGGTCTGGAAGACACCTGATGTCTCCCTAAAGTGGACCTGTCACACCCTATCGTTGGTAACGATCCTCATCATCGATTTTTAATCGAATAGTTGTTGCAGCTCTAATCTCCACCCGAGACATTTTTAGGCTTCTATATTAACTGCTTGAAGACCAGGTGTTTAGATCCCCTACCTTCTCCAGGCAGAACAATTTTGAGCATAACTATAAGACATGTTTACTTTTATCTCGGTCTAGGCGTGGGTAGGAATTGCACAGGAGGGATTCACAATACAATTGTCAGCCAAAAAGTGACTGCAGCCAATCGACCGAAGCCACCGTTTGGGTATTCTGACAGTTGTAAGAATACAATAGCCCGGCATGCATGGATGGGGGCAACCGAATGCCTAGTGCTGGGGTAGACAACCTCCGCATTCCAGCTGTGGTAAAACTACAAATGCCATCATGCCTTTGCCTCTGGGAGTCATGCCTGTGGCTTGCAATGCCTCATGGGGCTTGTAGTTTCACCACAGCTGGAGTGCCGAGATTTCCTACCCCTGTCCTAGCATATGGGCAGCTTTAAAATGCTCTACAAAGCGAAATATTCTTCTACTCTTAAAGTAGAACGCAGACCAAAACTTTTTTTTTTTTTTTAGTTTTGGAGTGAAGGAGGGTTATAACCCCTGTGAGTTTTTCAGTCTATGTCCCATTGGGGAGATTTAACTTCCTGCCTGAACAACAGCCACAACAGGCAGTGAGAGGAAATCCCTGCTGGTCACCAGAACTAGTGTCCCCATTGGAAGATCTCCCATCTATTCCTGTTTTGGTGACAACACACAATTTGGTATTTTCTTTCCCTTTCGGGGCACAGAGAGGAGGTGTGTCCCCCATGTCTAATGGGGACATAGGCAGCAATAAAAACCTGACGGGGGTTCTGATTCCCGCTACACCCCATCCAAAACGAAAAGAACGGCTTCAGTTGCACTTTATGGACTCCATTAGTATTGATTGACGCGTGCTTTTAAAGTGTTTGGACTTTTCTTTGGCACCCCTTGCCGATACCTCTGATATGTCTTCCAGGAGATTTGTATTAGTTATCTGGACTGCTGTCAGAGGGAGCGGAGCCGGCACAGTCGACACAAGACGCTCAGGTCAGTTTCTGAAGACAATCTCGATATTGTCTCCTCTGTAGATATTAAAGCACGGGGGGGGGCAAGTAAATGTGGGGTTCAGGAGCCAGTGCTGTCACTTCAGGATGGCCGAGCGGTGAGGAGAGAGAGAGAGAGAGCCGCCGGCTGTCAGTTCCTGGCCGAGCGTCTCTCTCCTCACCGCTCGGCCATCCTGGATGGCAGCTCTGTTCTCTGCTCCCCTCGTCGCCAGCTGCCGCGCTCCATTTGTCATCAGATCCCCGTCTCTGCCCGTACAGGTGGGGGAGAGCAGCGGGGATCTGAGGAGAAGCTGGAGCCTGTGTCGCCCCTCTTCTCCCTGCTGAGCCGAGGCTGTGTTGGCCGCCTGGCACCCCTGTTGCCATGACGCCTTGTGCTCACCGCGGCAAGGGAGCGCAGCCAGGCCAGCCGCGACTTAGCTGCGACTGGGGCGAGTGCCTTACTCGCCTTATGGTAGCTATATGTCAGAGCGATATACATGTATAATGTGGGGGGGGAACATTAGAGTGTAAGCTCCTCTGTACAGAGACTGATGTGACTGTGGGGGGCACATTAGAGTGTAAGCTCCTCTGTACAGAGACTCATGTGACTGTGGGGG